CCCCTGTGACATGGACGCTTGCAAGTGATGGAACCCGGCATCGGTAGTACACAGCAGGGATCGCTGACAAGGTAAGAGACGCTACGCTGTATTCCCGAGTGTGGCTCGGGGTTACCGCTTATGGCACAGAAAATTAACCCCGAGCCACACTCGGGAATACCACCAGGGAGGTTAAAGGAAAGGGGCCTGCCAGCGTTCTTCTCAGTCACTACTGAGATCCAGGCTGTATTAGCACCGCCAGAGCCCTCCCCTTCCTCCTGCGCCAAAAACGAGGCTTGGAACGCACAAGCCCGGCGATGACGTCACCCGCGCCGGAAGTGACGTACGCGGAACATTTTCCCGGGGCCATGAGAACCGAACAGACCTCTCTGAACAGCGGTCCACCGATTCCCCTGACCCAGCCAAGTGGGTTTCGTCCTCCCGGTCCCAGCCCTCACTGGGCACTGAAGGAAAAGCCAGACCCATCTCCTGACAGCGTTATGAGAATTAGACATGTGCACTGCCAAAAAATTTGTTTCGTTTCGTTTTAAATTCGGATTTGTGTTATTTTGTTTTTCGGGCTTCGGGTGTGAAAGTCAATTCGGATTCGGACGAAATTCGGTAGCGTTAGTTCGAACGTTCGTTTCGTTTTCTGTTCTTATTAGTTTCGTTCGTTGGAGCAAAGTGACATTAGAGAAGGAGAAAAATATTTTTCTCCTCTGTCACTTTGCTCCAACGAACGAAACGAATAAGAACAGAAAACGAAACGAACGTTCGAACTAACGCTACCGAATTTCGGAAATGGAAATTCGGATTCGTTTGCATTCGTTATGTCTGTAATTCGGATACATCCGAATTTCGATTCGGAACTAAACGAATCGCACATGTCTAATGAGAATCACTGGGGCTCACAAACAGGTAGGAATCCTACCCAATCAATCTGCCATACATAGGCAGCCTTAAGAGAAAAGAGACTTCCTGGGCAGCATCACCACATGGAAGCCCCTCTCAGCGTTCTGTGACGTGCTCCCCAGCTTGACTGAGGAAACACAAAAGAGGGAGTGGAGGAGAGGCGGGTCTTTGAAGAAATTTGGGTGACATGTTTCCTGTGTGTGGGAGAGGAGATTCCATCTCATGATGTTGTCAAGGACATTATGGGAAAAACCATTTTTTTTTTTTAACCAAAAACTGCCCAGAACGCTTCAAAAACACGGCGCAACCAACAGCACTGCGTGTTCAGAAACTCATGCAGATCTGGTCTGCATTTGGTGTAAACAAACCCTTAGAAGTAATAAACCCTTAGGGAGCATCGCACCCAAAAAGAAATTTCTATTGCAGGGGTTCCAAAAATGTACTTTTATCTCAGTGCAGACTTCTGAAAAAACGTTGTATCCACGATCTATAAGATGCTGATGGAAAGTAGAAACTAGATACACGCTCCTATGGAAACAGGATCTAGATAGGCCATTGGAAACAAAAGATTGGGCACAGATGGGACAGCAGTAGAGGCCACTTATTAAGTTCTATTTCGCTGGTACATGGTCCCCTTAAAATAGCTACATTTGCAGAGAACCTCCCCAAAGTGTTTTAGGGGATGCGATGAGGTTGGTTCAATGTTACATATATGATGGCGCTGGCCCAAAAATCAAGGGGTTCTGGCTAGGTACTGATCGAATGATTAGCAAAGTATTAGGAAGGCGAATAGGATGCCACTCATGGGAGGCTTTGCTTAAAAAGGAGAATTATGAGGCAAGTGATTTTTCACTCAGCCTCATAATCTGAGCCGACCTGTGACAATGAAACCTTCACAGGTCGGCTCAGTAGATCGGGAAGTGAGTGAATACATACCGGCATAGGAGAACTATGGGGAAAAGCCCTGACCCCATAGTTCTCCAATTTAGGACCGGAGGGCTCTACCAACATGCAGTTTAAAATTAGTGACTCATATTAGAGAACTATGGGGTTAAGGCTTTTCTCCATAGTTCTCCTTAGGGTAACGGGAGGACACAAACTAAAGTCCTCCCGTCACCCTAAGATCAGTATACCGCGAGCTACAGCTCCCTATATACTGAGACGCCGCAGCTGAAGCGGATCCCGACATCGAGATCCGCCCAGCTGCGTGACAGCTGGCTCTGCCTATCTAAAGGCAGAGCCAGCTGTACCCGCCCCCTCACCCGTTCAATCCGCCAGTCAGCGCTGGAGGATCGGGGAATCCAGCCCCTCCCCTGTCACGGCAGAGAGTCGTGACAGGATCGAGAGGTGAGCGAACGCCGGTATATGTTCGCTCACCTCCCGATCTACTGAGCCGACCTGGGACAGTCTCATTGTCACAGGTCGGCTAGAACTATGAGGTGAGTGAGAAGCATTCACCTCATAGTTCTCCTTTAACAGCTGCTAAACAAGACATGGAGCTCTAGTACCCCCTCTATACATCAAGGAGCAAGAAAGGATAGTATAGGCATAGTAACTATTGGCAATAAATTACAGAATGGCTTGTGTAACCTTTTTATACGTTAAAACGTTTTAAAAGGTGGCGGTTTCCTGTAGAGGTAGCCCTGGTAATAACTGGCATGGGTGCATGAATTATTTTTTCAATGGTTACATTTATGAATTGGGGTATACAGATGTATTTTTCTTGAAGATGTTTCGCTGGTCATCAGACTAAATTTTCTCAATTCAGAAAGCTGGTCCGATAACCGGAGAAACGTCTTCAAGAAAAATAAAGCGCATCCAGTTGCCTTGATTTAATTGTTTGCAGATATACCATGACCTGGAAGAATGAGAAGCTTCACAGACAGTTTGTGGTATAAAGTCTCCGCAGTTGACGGATATGATGGCCACAAATGTACCCAATATTGAGTAGAATGTACAAATAGCTGCAGGCTAAAGATTAAACTCCAGGCTGGAGACAGACCTATCGCCTGTAACCGCCTATAACAAAGAACGATGACTATCATTCCCAATCGCAGACTGTATGCAGAAAAGAGTTAGCGTCAACAAAAGGTTGCAATAGTGGTGCAGGCAGTAAGATAATACCCAGGCGCTCCTATCAACAGACTGTCGGCTAATCCAGACAGTGCTTCCCACAGCCCTTGCCCAGTGATACAGATGTCTGTAAATTATGACGGTCTATGTAAAAGGATCTACATGCCTGCCGGTACTGGTTGTGAATGGTGCAGATGGTTGTGAATGCCGAGGTTCCAAAAGGACAAGAGGATGTGTGAATGTGACATCACCTGTATGATGCGTTTCCAGTCTATGGCTCTATCATGATGCGTGTTAAATAAAATGCTACAAATATATTTCTGTAGATAAACCGCCCACTTCTACACCTACAATACTAACTGCAATTGTGCTGCAGCTGGTGGAAAAAGAAATAACTCCTAAAACAGGTCATGTGATCTATCAAGGCATTAAAGTATCCTACTAAAGTGAAGTCAATCCCTAAAACCTCATTTCAAGAGTCACTTTATATATTTTTTAATCTGCAATTTTATTATAGCCCCTGGCGTGAAGATAATCATTGAGGCATCACCTTTGTTCAGGCACCTCCAAGCTGTCCACCCCGTTACATGCATTCATTACAAGCCACCATGCAGGCACAGTTCATAGTTGCCACCATCAGGAAAGTTGCAAAAATGGAAAAAAGGGCCTCAGTCATGAAGGGGTTAAAAGGGAGAACTATGAGAGAAGTGATTTTCACTCACCTCATAGTTCTAGCCAACCTGTGACAATGAGACTGTCAGAGGTCAGCTCAGTAGATCGGGAGGTGAGCGAACACAGGTCGACCGATAAGCAACTGCCTGGCATAGCTGAATGTAAACAGAATACCTACCCAATATCGGTTATTGGCCTGAAAGGTGACCCATAATCCGTATCGGCTCTGAAAAAGCCATCTTGGTAGACCACTAATTCACATTATGACCTAGATGATTCCAGCGTGGGACGCCATATAAATTTCCCAGTTGGTTTACTTTGGCTACGGTTATGTGGCTTTGTACATGGTTTTCAAATGCAGTTTTTGCTTGTGTAAGAACACCCCCTCCCCCCCCCCATCCTACTAATTACTGTATATTTGTAGTACTTTCGCCCTTTTCCTTATTCGGCAAAAAAGATTTATGGTGCTGGTACAATTTTTGCCGTTTTGGTTGTGTAGATGGGTTAAAGCAACTTTGCAACGTAACTGCTAAGTGCCTGTAAAGGAGGAAGTGAACATGTATCTCTCCTGCCCTGGCCGACCTTTACATCACTACAACAATCCACGGTGAGGAACCACCGAGTACTGCAGGGGTCCAGGGGGTAAATACTCCCAGAGCTTGCATTTCAGATTCAACATCCGCCGGGGGTTCTTCATTGGAGCCGTGTTTGACAGCAGGAAAGGCAATTATACATTTTCTTCAGGTACACTGTTTGGCAGTTTTAGTTCTGTGACTGGGTCACCTAAGGCCCCGTTCACATATAGCGACATACCTTTTGCAGCGGATCCGCACGGCCGGGATAGCGCGACTTTCAGGGCGACGTTCCAGCGACGGTAGCGCGACCTTCCCCGTCGGGCTCCATAGAAAAAAAAAAGTAAAATCGCGCAAAATCCGCCGAAAAAAGGGTCCGGTAGAAGCGACTTGCGACCGCGACATGGAGTTAAGACAGCTCCATTGAATAACATTGGCCGGCGACTTCTCGCGATATCGCGCGGCAAAAATGCGCGATATCGCGGCGGAAATCGCGCGACATCGCGGCGGAAATCGCGCGACATCGCGGCGGAAATCGCGCGACAATTCGCTATATGTGAACGGGGCCTCAACCTAATGTCATATACCAGTGGAGTCACCTGAAGCAAGGCTACACAGGCCCCTGAACTTAGACAACATTGCACTGGTACCTATAACTGATCAGAAGGCCACTTCCATTGCAGGTTGCAGAAAAATAGAACTTGATTCTTAACACCGTCACGGCTAATGATATGGCGTTTGGTTTTTTTCATGGAAAAAAAAACGAAGAGGCATTGCAAGAGATTTCTTTTTTGGGAACAGAATATTTTATTTTGCTTACAACTGTGTTTAAACATTATGTTGTTTCTTGCTGGCTGCTGCGACCTGTAAAAAAAGAAACATTTTTGATGTCAAAACAGGAAGTCAATACAATAAATTGTCAGTTAGGTCAAAAGGAAAAAAAGTTCACATACACCATACATAACCGATACATTGCCTTAGCATCCCGACATTACACCACATCATCTCCAGAGAGACCAGTTTCTGGACCCAAAATGCATCCCAACGTATCCCTATGCTATATCTGGCCTCTGTTCACACCAGCGCAGTCCGTTCCACACCAGAAAAATATTGCGTGTCTCATTTTGTCTGTTTTGGAATGCACTGGAACCGCGGACAGGTTCACACCATTCTCCGGACCAGATCTGGTGGGAGCCTGCCCTAAAACAGTATTGAAAGAATTGTAAAAAAAAAAAGTGTGAAGCTTTTGGCCAGCGAGTAGCAGGGAAAACGCTTAGATCTGTCGATTTTGAGCAGCCAAGCACAGACATTCACTGATGGGTGAAAATCACCAACAAATAGAAGTACGCGCCTGCTACTGACTGACTAGGAGCTTCATTGGGGTGATGTTCTGTGATACCTTGGTAATATAAAACATTAACTAGTGTAGAAAGATACAGATACAACACAAGTCCATCAGCTCGTATGGCAAGTGATCAGAAGAGAAATCCCATATGTTTCAGGGGCTAAAAACTGCCAAATAACAAGGATAAGAAAAGTTGTGCTGGTATGGGTCACAGGTCAAGCTGCCTGACTGGCAAACTGTCCTAGCAAAACATTTATCATTTTATTTTGCAACCTGTTGTCCAGTATTCTTCTCAATTACTGCCGGCAGCTACGGCCTGATAAAAGGGAAGTTTTAAGCCCCCCAAAACAGGTTGGGTCTCCTATAAGACCTAATGGACTGGCATTAGACCTGTGGCACCCTCATCCCATCTACACTAAACGACTCCAAGGATCCCCTCAGGTTTAATGAGATGCCTCAAACAGTTACATTTCAAGCCCTACCCCTTCTACCTTTGGCTCCTGTGCTATGTCAACACATCTACTGTTGAAAGTAAAGTTGGGATAATAAAACAGAACCCCAAAATATCAGTGTGTAAATAATCAAACATACTAAAGTTAGGTTGCCTACACATCTCCCAGTCGCCCAACTTAATTGGAGACAGGGTAACTCACCAATTAGAAGTCAGTGCTATTAGTGGCACACATACGGCTGATGGTAAGAAGCCTAATGCAGTGAAGCTAAAAAATATGGAGTGCTCACTCCATACAAACTGAATACAGTCTTTAAAAATTGTACAGGAGGTAAAAGTGAAAGCTGTAACAAATTCAATGGGCCTCACATTTAGAACCTGAAGAACCATCATTCCCATTTCTCTAGTGCCATTACAGAATTCCAAAGTGTGTAAAGCAGCAAATACCAGCACAGCAAACCCCCAACCAGCTACAACCGAACGTTTCACCCGTAGGCCTAGTCATAGAGGGAATTCTCTGGATAGTGCGGTCCGTTCGTATACTACCACATTCCAAGGTGGAGACGCACCTATTAGATCAGCACCAGGGGAGTCCTGATTGCGGCTAAGGAATTGGAGCAATGAGATTTCCTTTGGTTCTACCAATCTTGCAAAGCCACATATCACCAAGGTTAGGTTACTTCCTCCCAAAACTCCATACTGGTTCTTTGCTTGATGGGTGGCCTCCCAACAACAGAAATGGGGACCAGCATAAGGCAGACAGCCATCCCTTGGGGCACAGAAGGTGCTGCTTTTGATTTATGCGGCATGTTCAGCTCTTTGAAACCTGACCGGTTTTAGAAAACTGATGGTATTTGACTTCACAAAAATGTAATGCGTTAATAAACTCAGGAGTTAAATCTTAAAAATCCATTCAAGTACCTTAACTAGAGGTGCACCGAAATTAAAAAAAAAAAAATGTCAGGCCGAAACAGAAAATGTTTTTTATTTTAATTTTTTATAAAAACTTTTTTTATATTTATTAATTCATTTATTAAATATTTTTATTTTTTACTTTACTTTTAGGGGCTTAGGGGAAATATTAGGGGGGGTCTAAACAGACCCCTGATATTTCCCTTTTAAAAACAGAAAAAGAGATTGAGAACACAAAGTCCTCAATCTCTTTTTCTGTATCCCCTGTTATCAATGATCGGGAATCCTCTATGAGTGTTCCTGTTCATTGATAACATGAGAACATTGTTTGTTTACTATAACTACATCTATGAATGAATGGGGGTGATGTAGATCACTCCCATTCATTCATAATTGAGGATATAGTTAACATAACATATTCTCAATTATGTACACACACACAGCGATCACTGAGTGTGTGTACATTGCTCTTCTCTCTGACACGCTGTCACAGGAGGCTGATCGAGCGGTGTAGAAGCAAGCTCAGCCTTCTGTGACAGCGCTGTCACCGCCCCACACACCACTCTGCCGGACTGCGATAGGCGGCAGAGCGGTGATGGAGGAGAGACGCCGGCCGTTCACAGCGCTCTCGTTCTGCAGCGCGCGGCAGGCTGCCACTTTCTTTTCTCCCCGTTGGAACAGCGCCCAGCGGAGAGAAAAGAAACCAGGGATGCGCCAATGTATCGGCCGAAACATGGCTCTTTCGGCATTATGCCAAAAGTGCCATTTTCGGCCGATATATCGGTGCATCCCTAACCTTAACCAGCAACAAAAATGTATCTCGCGTTTAGTTTACTAATTTGTATTGAGACTGTAGTCCATCACAGGAGTGAGCTTGGAGCGGTGACTAACACAAATGGGGAACAAAAGTAGCCCCCCTCCAGAAGGAAGGACCGTGTCAGCACCAATTCATAGATGATTGGAGGATCTACAGCCGAGTGATACACAAATAACCTACATAATTGCTCATAGTTAAAAAGGTACTTGAATGTATTTGTAAGATTTAACTCCCAAGTTTGTCACGTTAAATCTAAGAAAGGGAAGACCAAAACCTTCTATGAGGCACTATAGTATAAAAATGTTTGGTGGGAAGATGGAGTATTGATAAAAGCTACATACCTGTCCAGCAATTCTGTCGAGGTCTCTCTGTCCTTGTGGAGTCAGTCTGCGACCTCTGCAAAAAATACACAGGAAAGTCAGACATCACCAAATAAGCCAATGAAGTCCTATTTCAGAAAGACTCTGTACCAACAACCTTTTTAATTATTGCCCCCACTTTCCTGTTTCAGCAGTTGTACCAAGTGTCCAAATTGGACTGTGCAGTCTTACAGGCACCAAAAACATCCCGCAGCACTCAATTCGCAGACCTGGTCACATACATCCCCATTCCTTCCCAGCAATACAATTCTGTGTTTGAGACACTTTCACAGGCTCTGCCACCGCAGAGCACTGCGAGCAGAAGCAGCAAAAAAAGGTGCAAGAGTTTCAATAAGGATTTAGCATGGAACAGAATCATGCTGAGAGTGGAATACCCTCATCCCAATACCTAGAGCTGACTGGTGACATACTGCCGATCGTTCAGTTCACAATCTTCTCCTTGCAGAGAACAGTGACTGTTGGTCATCGCTCTCTGTAGAGATTACCCCCTCCCCGTTTCACCAGTGCCAATTTGAGGGACAGACCGGGGATGGAACGGGCAAAGTTGGCTCTAGACAGGTAGAGCAGGGGTGTGGAGATTTTGGAAAAAACTACTTGTCCAAGGACTAAAGCGGGGGCCGAATCTACTTGTCCCGATACATAAAAAATAATTTTAACCAAAACCGTATTTAGCAGTGCTAAGAAGCGCTTCTCATTGGTCAGTGCAGTCAAGTGACTGCGTTGACCAATGAGTGCTTGCAATTTCCAATCGAAATTCAGACTGCATGGAACAGGAACAGATAGTACACCTGTACTGGTGGACGGGAAGGACCGTTTGCTGAAAGGTATGTATAGTGGGAGGGAGATTTGTGCGGGTAATTCCATTTTCCAAAATGACTTGGGAAAGTGAATTTACCCTTAAGGCTGGGTTCCCACCTAGGCGGTTTTCCGCGCTTTCGTACTCGCGGAAAACCGCTCAAGCAGGGAAATGCCATTATTTTCAATGTGTATGGTTCCCATCTGTGCGGTTTTCCGCAAGTACGAACGCGCGGGAAACCGCCCTACGCCCAAAGAAGTACATGTACTTCTTTGGGGCGTTTTGGTCGGGCGGTTCCATTGGGATACAGCCAAGTATGCCTCGGAAACGCACGTTTGCCACGAATCACGGTAAAAAAACAGCGCGGAAAACGCGCATATTCAATCCGCCCAGGTGGTAACCCAGCGTTAGGGTTAGTGCAGACTTGGGGATTCCCAGGACGTGCGATCGTGTGCGGTTGCATACAGAGGTTGCATCCGCATGTATGGGGTTACATCTGCTTGGCAATCGCTGAAAAAAAGGTAGCTGTACCTATTTTAAACGACATGCACCGCGCAGTGTTTTCAACCGTGATCGCCCGCGGCGGTATTGCAGTAGGAAAACGCGCAATCTGCCTGGCATGACTGGGGTGCCATTAGAAAATAATGGCACTGACAGCACGATCGGCGGTGGTGTGCGATTCCGTGACCACCCAGCCATCCGCTCGGTTTCGTGCACGATGACCGGGCAGTCACAGATCGCACACCACTGCCGATCGCGCTGGCAGTGCCATTATTTTCTAATGGCACCCCAGTCATATTGCGCGTTTTCCTGCTGCAATACGGCCCTGCCCGTGCGGTTGCACACGATTGCAGTTGAAAACACTGCACGTTTATTCGCGTGCAAATGTAAAAAATGTTCATATGTTTTATTTTTACTTAAATCGCCTTTTTATTTTACATTTTTATTTAGTTACATTTTTAATTAATATTTTTTACTTTAACTATTTAAAAAAACT